TCAGATTCGTAATCAGCGACCCAAAAACCCCATAGATACCTATGTTAAATTCAAATTTATTGATTTTCAAAATTTTATGTACGCCATATTGGATCCGCCATTATGAATTTTTGAAATCTGACATCAGATTCGTAATCAGCGACACAAAAAAACCGTTAAATACCACTGTTCATTATAATTGATTAATTTTGAAAATTGTCTTTATATATTTATTGCATATATTTATATGTTTATTGCAATATTCTTGCTATGTTGAAAAAATATGAAAAGGCGCAAAATGGCATATATTGGCGTCAAAGTAGACATGCTAAGTAATCGTTCTATAACTTGATTTTCCAAATATTATGCGGCTTGGAGGAGCTCGACTAACTGAAAGTCGGCACTCTATTGAAAAGTCCACTATTTTTTAACTTCAATGGAGCTACATTTTAATAAATTTTATTGTTTTGAAGTAACTATAGGTTTTTTACTTCAATATATCTGTTGATGAGAAAAAATTAGTACTTAAATACAAAAATAATTTATTTATTTCTAGATATATTAAGGAGGATGGTGACTGTCTTTTCGGGGCAGGCGGCAAGAGGGGAATTCACATGCTTTTATATGGGATTAAAACTGCAAATACCAACTGTTTTAATATATATTTTATAAGTTAAATATGCAATAATTAATATATTAGACATAAAAAATAGTATTTTTAATAATTCTAATTCATCATTCCTAAAAATATTTTAAAAAATAATTATTTAATTACGTAAAAAAAATTTTGTAAAAAAAATTTTATGAGCATGGAGATCGTGACAACAGCGCATTCCATATGCATGCTAGAAACAGTGTTGGTAACACTGAATAAGAATTCATTCGTATATGATTACATTGCGACGTTGCCACGTTTCTGTGTATTATGTTAGAGAGGTTAGAAAATCTATAATTTTACGTCAGTTTTAATGTTATTTCTAAAAATCAGGACAGTCGGTTTACTCAATTGTTTTTTTAAATTATTCCAAAAGTATTAAACTTTAAAAGAGTATGATTTTTAAAAAAGTTTAACTTTTTTACACAAGTTATTATCAAAATAGTGCACTTCATATAACACTTCCCATAAGAGCCCATATAAAAACATGCAATTTCAACAATTAAATTCTCAAAAACGAGACAGTAAAAATCTTTTAAAAAAATTGTTTTATAATTTAGACATTTTTAACAACGAGTTTTTCCAATTTTTAAAAAATTCTTAACATTTTTATTTGAGTCACCATCCTCCTTAAGTATTTCAATCAAAAACATTCGAAAAATTGATACGAAATTTGGTCCGAAAATTGTTGCTGAAATAAATAATGAATATAATTTGTTCCTGAGGGAGTTAACCAGTAGAAGACATAAAATGTCATATTTACCATGTGTAGAAATGTTATCATCATCATCATCATCATCATCATCATCATCATTTAAATTTTTCTTAGAAGAACTGTCGTTTAATCATTTGTTTATTCAAACTGTCTAGAAGAGAAACTGTCTTACATATTAGTTGTTTTTTTGAAATTGACACATTGAACTTTTATCACACAACTTTGTTGTTCGTTATTATATTAGACAATTATTATGTAATTGAAAAACATTCGATATTTATATAATCGTACTTAACATATTATTTCATACATTCTTGATGAACATCCGTCATGTCATATGCCTTAATTTATTTCGCCAATAGTTTTGTACATATCGTTGCAGCTTTATTATTATATTTAACTAGTCGTTGTAAATAAAACTTTGTCAAACTTTTTCGTCGGGGATTCGCTTATCGTCATAATTTTATTAAAATATTGACTTTCATCAATAGCAATATTTAATCTCAAATTTCAATAAAAAATGTAAATTTGATTATTAGTATTTCAAGAGATAATGTCTTGAAACAGTCGCATTACAAGAATCAAAATTACAAAATCACATTTGAAAAACATTATTTGCTATTAACAAAAACTCATGTTCAAATTAGCAAACAGATCGTTTCGTCTACTTATGAAGTTCAAATATAATTTTAATTTCAGTCAAACGTTAAATTATTTATTTGATCAAGTTCCACTCGTTTCCAGTAAGATTATAATATAAATTTTATCTTAACTTATAGTTTTATCTATGTGATAGAAAACTAATCAATCGTTATTCTTTAAGAAATATTAAGAGCTTTTTCATAGAATTCCAAACTGTCATTTGTTTCCACGTTCCTTTCGTTCTTGATTTGATAACTGTTCTAATACATTTGTTGATTTTATAAAATTTATTAGCTGATCAGAATTACGTTCACATCTGTTTCTTGTATAACTGTCATGCTTTTCGTTGTCTCTAAGTCGTATTTTCATATCTAACAGACATTCAGGTTCACATGAGTTTGATTAAGATCGTTATGAGTTATTGTTGTTAATACTGTTCGTATAAAAATTAATATTTAGATACTGTCGCATAAATTTATTTTAAATCATATAAATTTTTATGTTTTAAATACTGGAATTATTAATCTTGCTTTCAATTTAAGAGATCTTAAACTGTCGTATTTTCGATTGAAAAACTCATCTTAAATAAATATTTTGACTTTTTACTATTTTTATCTATCATTGGTTAATGTATTATAGAATATAATTTATACTTTTTCGTCAAATACAATTCGTTATTAATTCTTCTCAACCAATCGTTTTAATTTTTAAACTCTATCGTTTGTTTAACAGTCAACTGGTTTTCACTAATCTTTAATATAAATGTAAAATAAAATTTCTGTGTCTTATTTTCTGTTCTAATGAACTCGACTTTTATATTAGATTCTTTAAAACAATTGTAAATTCAGAAAATTTAGTTTTTACTAATTTAAACTATTTTCTGACTACATGAGTCTCGTAATTTTCTCGTGTGAATTTAATATTTATTTATTTATACTTTTGTTCAATTCATCTCCCTTCGTTTCTAATAATCGTTTTTAAGGTTTAGTAAACTGTTCTTTATTTTATCTCCCTCCGTTTTTAATAATTCGTCTTTAAGGTTAACTAAACCGTTCTTTATTTTATCTCCCTCCGTTTTTAATAATTCATCATTGTTTTTCTAAAAATTCACTGTCTTATCAATTTTTATTTTAATGAACCAGTCGTTTAAAGACAAATTTGTTTCTGTAATTGTTCTGCTTTAAGTATTTATTACATCATCTCTTACTATGAACTTTTTTTTTTATTATTGACAAATAATCTAAACATTTGAATCGTTTAATTTCATTTCGTTAAAATAATCGTTTATTATAAATGTACTTAGAGAAATTCGAAAGTTAATTTATTTATCGTATAATTTGGTTAAATCTTTCTAGGATTCTATCTGTCAAGAAATATCGAAATTATCAAACTGTCGTATATATTTTTGCATTGTAAAAACTTTTTCTTATCAATTCTTACATACACACACATATATATATATATATATATATATATATATATATATATATATATATATATATATATATATATATATATATATATATATATATATTACAATTTAAAAGACTGTCGTCAAAAATTGTTTAGATTTTAGGCTTTTATTTTATTTCTATTATATTCCTCTAACTTTCGTAAATAACCAATAGTCATTTAATCAGTTTGTATACGCTACAATATAGCTTTATTTGTGTTAACAAAATCGTTATGAGAATAATTTGAATTTATCTAGAATATTGTTTACTTACGTTCGGTAATTTTTGCTTTATTATTGTGATGTAAAAATTTTAACTTTTGCAATTGCTGACATTTTGGAAACTTTCGTTAACCATTTTATCATTGTCCTTTTGTAAAATTTGGTAAAAATGTCATTTTTATAGTATTAATATATTTTTCAGTTATTTTCATCAAGTCGTTTGTTGTACAATCGTTATTTCGGCTTTCACTTATTTTTTAAATTTCGTTATTTTGATCCGTTTTTTATTGTAATCTACAGTAGTGTCAAAAACAATATGAAATATCTGAAGTGTTAAACCTATAAAGTTTTGTATATATAAGTTTGATGAAAACAATTCGTTCGTTTTAGGATTAAAACTATTTACATAAATATCGTTTAAATAAATCGAAAAACCTGTCTAAAATAACAGTCGAAATGATTGCTGCTTCTTTGAAAACATAAATTCGTATATTTATATTTTTAAATCAATCTTGTTTTTACTTTAGGACAAATTAATCGTTTATTATTATTTTTTATTATCGAAATAATAAATATTATTTTCGAGACATATCCCCGGTAAGAAGAGGTTGATTAAATTGAATAGAAACGTTTCAATGCCAAACCTATGTCATTTTTGAAAATTACCCTTTGAATCACAAATATCGCTCGAAGTGGATTTAAAAGGAATATAAATGTAATCAGTTTACAGAACACATAAAATAGATTCAGTTGAATTAAATCGTGTTCAGAATATAATTATTGAGAATACATAAACCAGTTTGTTTGCTTTCTTTTGTAATTAAATTAATTGCTTTACATTTTTTAAATTGAATTTTTATTAAGATTTAAAGAATAGGTACAAATTTTTAACATAAACTTTATGTTTTTACATATTAACGAATTTAAAATTAAAAACAATTATTTTCAACGAAAAGCATAACTTTAAATAATAAACAATAAATTTGCCTACATTCTAAAGATATTACGCCTACGCCTGACCGACAAAACAAAATGATATTTTATTTTTCATTTTAATAACATTTTTTTTTAAATATATACATTTAAGTCATGTAAAAATGCTAGGCTGAGAAACAATTACTATTTCAAAATTAATTTTTTTAAATTTGCTTCAATATGTTAACCTTATTTTAAAAAAGAGTCAATCTGAAAGCAAAAATTTAAAAGTAGTCTATTAACATATTACAATAGGCAGTTCGCTAACAAAATATTTTTATTTAAATAAAAACTTTTATATTTGTTACTAAAAAACAAACAACTTTAACTTTTCATTTAAAAATTTAAAAAATCCCTCATCTACGAACTGCGTGTTTATAAAATTGTTAATTAACAAATTAAAAAATTATTAATTTAGTAGTTAAATAAATTAATAAATAATATCAACTAATCTTCTAACAAAAAACTTAAAAACTAACATTTTAATGTTTACATATAATATTAAGTAATACTGATGATTCTTAAATGGCAAATTTTGGTACATTAATACTTTGAAATATAAAACGATTGAATAAAAAAAAGAAGTTAAACTTCGAAAGAAAGATACTTATGAGATTGTGACTTAGTTGAAAGCGTCAGTATCATCATCACTGACAGCTGCAATTAAATATTCTTCGTTGGCTAATAAAGAATTCATTTCATCATCGACATGATCAACTGGACACTCAGTTGGTCTGCTTGAATTTAACTCCACATTACCAGAATTTTCATCGGCAACTGTCTCATTCAATGTTCTAACTATATCAGGACCACCTGAAGTTGTAGGTCCCTCCGAATCATTTTCATCAGTTCCTAATATCGGTTTCGAAGATTTCTTTGCATATGCTTTTTGCTTTTGTTCTTTTAAAGAACTAATTTTCTTGCTAATATGCGTATGTACTTTCCCTGCTTGGATTTCTGCCTCTTCTTCAGTCAATTTTTTTTCTGTTATTAAGTAGTAAGTGTAAATATCTGAAAAATCATAATAAATTTAATATTCATTTTCATGAAACTAATTAGAAATAAGATTTAAAATGTTTGTGAGAGTCTTCATTTTAAATAATACCTCGGATAGCTAGAACAATTTTGGGGTCCAGTTGCTGTTGAGGTTTCCTACTTTGTTTATTGCGATTACTTCCCTTTCCTGTCACCGTAGTTTGGGTTAAATAATCATACCCACATAATGATACTAAAATATTTTTAGCAAACGTTGCCTGGCGAGTAGTTGGAACATGTAAGGCAAGAGCCCAAGCCTGCATGGACAAATAAATGCCTCTTCCAAGGTGAATCTGTAAAAGTGTTTATTTTTTAATTTATTGGTTTAAAATATTAAAATTACTATACCCAGAAAAAATATATAGGTATGACTCAGAGCCAACTAGACTTTCTTATTTGTTTCAAATAAATTTAATTTGAATTAAAGGAAATTTTGTTTTGTTCAATAAAAGTTTTATGTATGTTGAATAAAATTTTTATTTAAAACAAAAAATAATCTAGTTGGCTCAGGGACAAATATACTTTTATTTAACTCAAATGAATTACATTTGGTTTAAACGCTAGAGAAAAATGGATTCTTTTTAAAAAAAGAAAGTCTAAAGTAATTTTTTAAAAATTTAGATACTATTAAAAAGAGCAAAAAACTATTCGATAATGTTAAAGTCAAAAACATGTTTAATGTTATTTAAACTATTAAAAATTGCCTGTTCCGTTAAGCCGTATATTTATAAGGGTGGAACACTTGAGAAAATTTAGCCCATATAAATCCAGAACAAATAATAAATTTAAAATTCGGAATATATATTTACCTCCGATTCATCCTCTGTTATGTAACCAACTGGAGGATACTTTCCAGTGCCTTGAAATTGTCTGGGAGTCTCGACTGTTGCTTTATGTAACGCTATAGACAAGGAATAATTTTTTTACAATTTTGACTGCAAAAACTATCTTTATCTTTATTATATGTGTACGTCTTCATGAAAAGTACCCATGACACTGCTGGACTTAACAGTGGTTGGTGTTATTATTGTAATTAGTTTTTTTTATTCACGACATTGTTATTGTAAACGCATAATTTTACATATGGGACACTTTTCAGTTTCATCAGTTTTGTAATTTTCAACAATAGAAAAGAATGTGAAACACTGAGAAAATTTCAATTATCTAATATTATCAAAATGGGACCTTTTTATGCGGACGTACATAAATTAAAGTTTCGTTTTACCTAATACATTATTATGCTTTTCAATTGCAGTTTTTTGCCATTCCATATTAAGTTCTCTTAATGTTTGAAGTTCCTCTAAATATTTTTTAACTTTGTCCCCCAAAATAAACTCTCGATCAAGTGACTCTGACAAGTCTTTATTTCTTTCATCGATCTCATCTGTTAATTGTACAATTCTTTCATGTTCAGATTTTAATTGTTTTCTAAATTGTTCACAATCTGAACATATACTATTTTCTTTATCTGGTTCAATGATTTCGGATTGAAACACATTTTTCTCTTGATTCGAATTGTTTTCAGTATTATCTAATTTTGCTAGTTGCTTATTTAAAGCTGCTAGAACGTTATTGTTATCAGCCTGAAATATAAAAAAGAACTAACTGTAAGTAAAACTTTATTGAATCACTCCTGTCATATATTTATAACGAAATTATTTAAACAGAGAGAAATAGACATTGCTTGGAAATAATTAACTATACAAAACAATCGTTGAAATTTTTATAATAAACAATTTATAATTTTCATCTAAAGAACGAAATAATTATTAGCCGAAATAGAGTAGTGGCTTTTTAAAATTTTTCATAAATTCACGAATTAGGTATTCTGTCTTAAATAATTCCTTTAAAAGCAGACTTACTTTACGCTTAACAGATTTTCCAGGACGTTTGGACATTTGCGTTTCATCGTCTGTTGATTCCGCAGCTGATTGCAACGTTTTAACCGATGGCAAGCGATCTCTGTTTCCCGTTTCGTTAATATGTTTTTCCAGTTCTTCCTTAGTATCTAAAAAATATTTTTATATAAATTGATTATCCAATATTCTATCATTAGTTCAGATCGTGCATTAACAAAAGTAGAGAATATGAAAAGTATAAATATGCATAATATTATTTATTATGTATTAATTACACATATATAAATAATTGAGCCAGCCGAACTACATAATCTTATCAGTTATAATAATCGTAATCTTCAAGATTTTATATTAAATATATAAATATTAATAATAATATAAATGAAACATATAAAATGCATTAAATCTATTTTTAAATTAATAAAAAGTAAACAATTATCAATAAAATCATGGAATTATTTGATAACTTATTTAGAATTTTTCAGTTTTAAGAAATGTCAAATTTGACTAGTCGAGTAAGTTAACAGAAATTTTAGTTATATTTTGACAAATTACCAAAAAAGAATTTATTTCATAACTAAAAATTTTTAAGTTTTTCAATTTAAGAGTAATAAATTCTTAACATTTTTTAAGTGTAATGAGTACAAAATAAATAAAGAAAAAAAATAATAATTAAAATAAAACTTATAACAATAATTCATGTTTAGTAATTATAGAAATTCTTCCTATGTAATTATCGTTAACATTTTCCATTTATAATATGAATATATGAATTTATATATAGTAAATTACTAACCTGCAAATCTCCATACAATGCACTCTTGTGATTCATCTCCATCGATAAGTTTATATTTTTGATTTGGCACATGTTTATTAACATCAAATCTTTTTAAGGCACTAATATGCACAATTCGTTTTACACGAGGAGGCTTCAAAGAACAAATATAAGCGAACATCTTACAATAATTTGGAAGTAATCTCCACGTGCTGCGACTAACGATATCACCGACGAACGTTTTTTTGAAACGGTTAGAATATGCGTAGATAAATTTTCGGCGAAATCTTCTCTTTCTTTCTGGTATTGAAGGAGTAAGTGAGGAAGATATATATTCTCGAAATTTCTAGATTGTTCGATACTTCTGAAGTCAGTCGGCTCTGCATGAATAGGATTTAGTGGCATTCAGTTGCTTACAGTTTTAAAGTTTCTAACCTGCTTCGTTCAATCAACATGATCAACACGTTTGAAAAAGTTGGTAAATGCGAATATTGCTATTATTTTTTTTTAAATAATTAAGCAAAAACATACACTTTTCTTGTGGAATTTAAGTTCATTTTGTAAAGTTGGTCAACGTAAACTTAATTACTTTTAAAACTGGTAAGTAATAATAGTATTTATATAAAATACATAACCTCATATTAACGCGTGTGTAAATATTTACATTAACATAATTGAAAAATTTGAAATTTAAAGTGATAAATAATTTATAAAAACATAAAATGACTTTCGAGCATTAAAATTTTATTCTCAAACACAAATTAAAAAATTGAGAAATATAAGAATTATTTCTAATATACTTTTCATAAGAATTGAAAAATATTTTGAATTCAAATTTTTGATCAAAATAAAACAGATTATTAACGCTTATGTTATCTTTATCTTATACTGTATAATATTTTTAAGAAAAATTCTAAGAATTATGTCAAATAAAATAGAAAAATTTTTTAGATACATTATGAATTCCGAAGGTGAAAATTTTCCTTCGAATAAGCGAAGAAGGTACAAAATGATTTTGGATCCTAATTGTGATCCTGCTTTGCAGCTAAGTCAAAAAACTTTAAAAACGTGGATTGAGGCTTCTGAGAAAATAATAAATCAAATAAGATTGAGAAGTAAGTACAGTGCTAACTCTTTTTTAATATTTTCGGAGAACCTACTTAGGAATTTTTTTATTTTCAAGCTCTTCAGAAATGTAACTTTAACAAGTTTTAACAATAAGACGTTGTTTCACATAAAAATGGACGATATTTATTGTATTAATATAATTCCAAAAAACTTTGTACTGTATTTTTTTTAGAAAAATGTCAAATTTTAAAAAAATTTTGAAAACAATAGAAATTTTTCTCAACAACTACAAAAATTAATTTACTTGACAAATGATTTTTTGCAGCTCTGGAATGGACTTTAAAAGAAAACGTATATATTCTAAAAATTTTAATTTTCAATATTTTTTTAAAATTTATATGAAATTTAGTTTTGTCTTTAAAATATTAGAGCTTTTTGAAAATGAGTTCAATAATTTCCAAATTAATTTGTAAAGTAACTCCTCAATAATTTTTTTAATGCAGGTAGCCTTGAAACATGTACTAGTGAAGTACACTTGGACGAATTGTTACATAGTACAGGAATTGAAAACGAGTATAGGGAATATTCAGAAACCGATGAAGAAATAATTGACTATTACGAGGAAGCATCAGATTCTGAAGACGAACAAGATATGGATCCAAATTTGCAATCTCCAAGCACGCCAACGGCAGAAAGCTCATACACAAATACATCTATGTTTAATCAAGGAGAGGAAATCATGTTCGACAATTCTGGTACAACAGTTAATGATGTTATACAAATGATTGTTGCTTACAGTGTTCGTTTCGGTAGTACGCATCAGCAACGTGATTGGATGTTAGAAATGTTTAAAATTTGTGCTGGATCTCGCTTTGATCATATTAAATTGTCGAACTATCAGATTTCAAAAGTTTGTGATCCACCTCCAGATAAGATAGTGTACCATTTCTACTGCGATCAATGTTTACAGAAAAAAAAGTCTTAGAATCTTGTTTGAAATCAGACATTAAAAAAAAAAATTGTTTGCTCAGATTGTCAAAAAAACACACTATTGACTTTAGTAACCCCAATTACTTTTTATCTGTAGATGTAGAATATCAGTTAAAATTACTATTCCAAGAAAAAGAAGTAGCTGACTATTTACTTAAAAAATTGACGTGTGAATTAACTGAATCCTCCGACTTTGTTATTCGCGATGTTGATGATAGTATGCTGCATAAAGCATTAGTAGAGTCTGACAGTAGCTTTTTAACGTATACAATGAGTACGGATGGTGCGCCTCTCTTTAAAATGTCTAAAAGATCCTTCTGGCCATATCAATTAATTTTGAATTTTCTACCTCCTCATCTTCATTTTAAATATGTTTTATTAGCGGGCGTAATGATTGTTACCAAAGAACCAAAATCTGACCTAATGAACCTTTTTGTAAATGCGTTCAATGAACAAACCCAACATTTATGTGCGGAAGGAATAAAACTAAAGTTACATAATTATGATAAGGAATTTCTTATAAAATTTGTGCCACTATGTGTCATTGCTGATGCTCTTGCTAAGGCTATTTTACAAAATAGATTGCAATACAACGGGTATTGTTCTTGTAGCTTCTGTTACCACATTGGGCGTTATATTAAAGATGCAGGCGTTAGATTTCCTTTCTTGGATGAAGAATTGGAACTTCGAACCCATAATTCACATTTAGAAGATGTAGCTAATGTTGAGAAACTGATTCTTTCTTCTAAATTAAAGAAAAATGTTAAACCTTCTGTGCGCGGAGTAAAAGGTTTTTCTGCTTTTATTCAACAGCATATTGATATGGTTTGGGCATTCCCAATTGATTACATGCATAATGCAATTTTGGGCGTAACAGAACAAGTGTGGGTGGAGATTAATAAAAATGATCTATCGCCTAAACAACGCAAAGAAGTTGATGATCTATTGCTTCAAATACAGCCTCCGCATGATCTTCATCGAATTCCTGAAAGGATGTCGTCTAAAGGGATTTGGAAAGCGACTCACTGGAAGTCGTGGTTACTATACTATAGTATTCCAATTTTGTCTAAATTTGAATCATCAATATCAAAAGATAAGCTTGAACATTATGCGCTTTTTGTAAATTCTCTCCACACTTTATTGAAGTTAGAAATTACAGAAGAAGAATTGAAAAAATGTGAAAGAGATTTGCTTGTATTTGTGGGTAAATTTCAAATTTTTTATGGGATCGAGAAAATGACCTTTAATGTGCACATCTTATTACACCTAGTGCGTTCTGTCAGAATGACCGGTCCATTGTGGACAACATCCGCTTTTCCTTTTGAGCACAATATATTTTCTTTAAAAACATTCGTAAATGGGACTAAAAGTATTGAGCATCAAATGGCCTCAAAATCTTTAAATCGAATTGCGTATCAAGTTGCTCCGTTAAATCCATCTTTATCAAAAGAGGTTACTGAATATTGCAAAAATCTATTTTCCATAAAATCTTTTACGAAAAGTTCTGTAAAATTCGAAAATATTTCCTTTTTTGGACCAAGTCCAAAAAATAAATTTCAAACATTACATGAGTTTGACAGATGTATTCATGAAAAAAGAATTTTTTTTAGTACGACGTATTTGAAGTCAAATAAATTTAATGATACAGTAGTACAATTACATAACAAAAAAATTGTTCAAATAACACGAATTACATTAGTGCCAAATGTTGAATGTTTGTTAGAAGTAGTAGAATTGATTTTGGAACCGTTCGCGATAGGAGATGTTCAAATTAATCATATATGGAAAGTAATTAAGAACGAAGAACACACTCCTATTGCGTTATCCGAAATTGCATCAAAAGTCGTTGTATTAGATTTTGAGAAGGGTCAGCAATTTGTTTGCGTAGTTTGTAATAGTATTGAGGCACAGTAGTATTTTTACACAATTTATGATGTAATTTTTATTAACATTAAACTGCTACCTTTAATAAAAGGTAATAAAAAATACATCTCCGTGTATGATCAGAGTCTTTGATATATAAAACCTAACTAATTTTTCCTTTATGGCTTTCCAAAATTTGTGGAATTTACCTTCAAAATTATTCTGCGTATTATTTCTTTGTATTTTTAATGAGTTTATAATAATGTGTATTATTTTATTTCTTTAATTTTAGATATTAATTTTTAAAAAAATTACAATAATAAAATTTTTTTTATTGGATTAAATTTACTTCTATTTAAAAAATAAAAATATATTTGATTTATTATAAAAATATGTTTAAAGAAATAAATAATAATTTAAATTTTTTATAATAAACGGAAATGTTTGAAGTAAGTTTTTATTTGTCCACGAAAATTTTTTCTCCTTAGATTTTCCCCTATTTTCATAGTTATATTTTATTAATAAAAAATAATTTGAATTAATTTTTTAATAGAAAATACTACCATTATCAAAAATGTTGAAAAATCTTAATTTAATTTCGGTTTTTTAATTTTTGTTTTTTAAAAAAATTTAGATATTTTATACAAAATCTCAATTTTAAAGAAAATCGAAATATTAATTTTAAAAGATTTTGAAAAATTTATGATTGGAAAAAAATTTACTCTACGTTATATTAATTATATTTTATTACAAAAAAATAAGTAATTTAAATCTTTATTAGTTTAATTTTATTTAAAAATTAAATATAAGTGATACTTGTAAATATTAATTCCATTACAATTTATAACATTATATGTATTAGTCCAACAATTTAATTTCTATATTATTGACAGCATAAAACTGAATTCAACTTGCCATTTTTGTCATAGAGTATTCAAACGAATTTATTCGTTTTTAAAAATATATACGGTACAAAGTATTAGTTTGTTTCCAACATTGAGCATTTCTTTTTTAATCATTTAATTTAAACCACGACAAATTGAAAAGAATTAAAAAGGCAACACAGTTTTAGAAGAATCTGTAAGTATTAAATGGTGTAAAGTAGTCTCTTGTTTGAATCATTTGTTAGGGAATTGAACTGTGTACACTTTTATCGAAAAACAAACCAGCATTAAAATCGATTAAATTGTATACGCTTATATGCCAATAAAGGAAATCAAAATCAAAGTTTCAAAAATGACATTGGTTTGGCATAGGAAATGTTCTAAATTTCTTCATATTTGATATCACTTTAATTTAAACCAATCAACCTCTTCTTACCGGGTCGTTATAATTATTGCTGCATTTATAATCGGACTTTCTTATGGTTGAAGAAATAATTAGGTGAATTATATTTTTCTACTAATTTACTAATTGACGAAATAATGATTTGATTTAACATACTTACACTTCGGTTCCGATGTTCTGTGAAATCTATTTTTAGTTCTCCATTCGTACTTGTTTGTGTCTTTCGTTGTTGAGTTTTTAAACTGTCATTTTATAAACAAATTGTTTTAATAGTTGACTGTCGTTACTTTTTTGTGTAAAAGTGTTTACCATAATATAATTAAAAGATCATTCAAATAGATCAAAATTAACTTTTTCGTTATAACATTTAATTTTGAAAACTGTCTTTCATTATTGGCTGAATTAGTAACACTTAGGCTTATTATTTGAGCTGACTAAACTCTTACCAGTAATACCTGTTTGTTTTCCTAACGTTTTTTTTAAATTTTTTTAATGAGCGACAGTCGTCATAGACTGATGGCAGTCTTATAAAAAGTAAAGCTTTGACATTCGTAAAAATATTGTTTTTGAATTCTTGATTCTTTCAAGAGCAATCGTTTTTCTTTTTGTGACTTATATCATTTACTTGAACATTTCGTTTTGTTTAAGTTTCAAGTAATTTAAAATAATTTCTGTCACTTTAAAATACAAAGGATTTTTGTAAACTGACAGTATTCGATTTGTTTTGGTCTAAATTAATAGAATTTTAAAAACAATTAATACTTTATTCGTTATTAAATTAAAAAGAGTTTCGTCTATTTTTCATTATTTAAACCTTTTAAAACAAGAATTGTTTTTCTTCTCTTCTCGTTTTTTTTGTTTTTATAATTAGAAATAAGTTTCTCACGTCGATCAAAAAGAAAATTTATAGAATCTCATTTCGTATCATATTTAATTAATTATATTTGTTTCAGTTACACTCGTTATATTTTATTTCGCATCGTTTGTTTAGTTTACTTAAAGTTTCGTTTTTATCGCAAGTATAGAAAATTATCATACAATGACAGATACTTATTCCACTTATGAGAATTTTTTGCAATTTCAGTTCGTTTTTTTTTATTTATTGTTAAAAAGAATTTTAAGAAAATAACTGTCGTATTTAAAGTATGAAAACAAATCTATCGTCTGTAATTTATCCGCCAATAACTCGTAAAAATACACAAAAGGTTGTAGATTAATTTAGAGTTCAATTATTTATTCGTTAACAATTAAGTTAATTATTAAATTATAAAATAATTATAATTTATTGAAGCCATTATTAATTATTAAATAATTAATACTATACTGTCGTTACTAATTCGCTAATAAAAATTTATTTTAAGTTTTCTCTGAAGCGAATTCATGGAAAGATCAGTCATTTGGTTTAAAGTTATTATTAGTAATTGTCTTTTAATTTTTCGTTAACAATTCGTTTATTTATGTACTTTTTTAAAATTTATTTATTTTTTAAATTTCGTCTGAATTAAAGGAACAGTCATTATCTTAGAGTACTGGACAAATAGATTTATCTATAATTCTAAGTCGCTTTAGCTATTCATTATCGTTCATTCGTTGCTGAATCTGTAGTTTTATTTTTGTTATGCATCGTCAAGGTCATATGAAAAAGGGGTAAAATTCAGTCAATTTGAGTCAGCACTATCGTTTACATTCAAACTGTCATTTATGATTAAAAATTAACAAATATCCTTTCGTTATTGCCTGATTTTCCGCCTTTTTCGTCTCTGATTGATAGTCAATACTGTCTTTCAACTCATCGTGATCACCATCGTCTTTATTAACAATACTTTCGTTTTTTTATACATTTATATTGCATATCATTTAAATTATGA